AAATAATATTTAAATTAAAATATTTCCTGAAAATCATATTTTTTAATTAAGATTGATATTATCTTTGATCGAAATATTATTAAATAAAAACAATAAAATTCAGGGTAATTTTTACTATACATTTCTCTGCGTATATAATTAATTAATTATATAATTAATTTTTATAATTAATAATTATATATAATTATTAATCTTATTTTAATTCTAATTAAGCTGTCCATCAGCATTATTATTATTATTATAAGTATTAACATCACATATATACAGTAATGATAATTAATAATAATTTTTAATAATATATTATTAAAAAAAGTATGACTGTAATAGGAGTTATCATAATATTGTCCATGTTCATATTTAAAAGAACAGTTTCATTTCATCAATTATTAAGTCTTAATGAATAATTTGTAGCCATTTAATTTTTAATTAATATCATGCTTGGAAAATTAATCAATTTATATGAATCTTGATTTTATTCCAACTGTTTCCATAAATATTTCTATAAGCAGATCAATTTATGAGGTTGAAATCAGGCTATTCTGTCTATATCCTCATTTTTCTTTGCTTAAAAAATAAAACAGGATAATATTAGGATAAAAAGGTTGACTCCAGGATGGAAAGGATAGGAATAGTATTTTGACTTGCAAACCCTTAAATATATTGGAAAATAACTTCTCGGCAATAAATCGTAAATAAAAGACGTGATAATTGGTAATATTTTAATTAACTAAAATATGATTTAGTAAAAACAATAAGTAATTGATAATTTTGCCTGCTTCTTTACAATATAAATTCACATTGCTACTAGAGTATTACACTCAGTTAGGATGAACACATCAATAAATAGATAAGATGTTAAAAAATATAAAAAATTATTAAGTAATTTGTTTAAACATTCCTCAACTCATTCCCACATTATTCAAATACATAAAAAAAAATGGTAGACATAAGTTAAATTGATGTAACATAATTCTTTAAAATTATCCCTATATTATTTCCCACATTTTCTTTCCTCTTATTTTACTCTGCTCTATCGATCTATAGCATTTACTGTACAAGTCAACACGCAATGCACAACTCACGTGTGTTACGTGCACCAAGGCTGATTCCAAAAATTGCTAGGGAATTTTTATACATGCAATTTTGTTGGAGAATAATGAAAAGAAAACTGAGAAATGGTATATTTTTGTTGCAATTATTTCTTCATTTTTAAATGACTTTTGCCCTTATTTATTATTACTTAATAATATTTTATATTTAACAACTCCTAAATTACAATCATTAACTTAAGTAATAGTTGATAGTTTAGTTACAAAAATTAATCATTTTTCATTGTAGGGGGAAAATTATTTAAATGTTAAAATAACAACGTCAAGGGAATTAATTAACAGGAAATATGACTATAGGGGCTGATATTAATTGTTGGCGTGTATTATGAGTGTCAACGACAAGCGGACAAAGAGTTAAAAGGGTGGGAAGGGGGGAGGGGGAGAAAAGTAAGAGAAATATCGATGTTCTCAGTTCTATGTAACGTGCATAATAATGCTTATTCATGCTGACTCAAGCCCTTGGTGAAACGTAATTGCCTTGTTCCATACCTCGACAAATGCATCTGCATGCAAGGAAACAAAAGATATATACAAGATGAATAAGACAAAGAAGGGAGATAAATAAATAAAGGAAGATAATATTAAATAACAAAGAACATAAATAGGATACTTATAGAGTTTAATAAATTTCATTTCATTTATTTTACTAGTAATAATCTTTGCTATTTACTTATGTTGTTATTATTATCATTTCTTTTATTTATTTATTTTTTTTTTTGCTTCATTTTTATTTCTTGAGTTAGTTATGAATTATTTATGGTTTAGAGTGAGATGAAGGACGTACAAGAATAATGTTTGCACTTAGGATTAATATTTTAATATATTTATTGCATTAGATATGAGCTATTTGATAAAGGTATTGATTTTTATTTGTTGTAGAAAAGAAGATTTTTTATTTATTTTAATGAGTATAAATATGCAATGTTACTTTTTAATTTAAATGTTTGTTTTTCTCTTAAGTTAATAAAGTAAGAAACATTTTAATCTCAGTGCCTGTAATAAAAAAAAAGGTAAATAGCTTTTTACTGTATTCCAATTAGTCAAAGAGTTACAAGAAATCACGACAAAAATATAATATTAACTTCATTATAAATAAAAAATATTTTTAATCGTCTTCTTTCTGCGGAAAACCACTGGTGACAATATTACCGCACGGCGTGCGGTAATACGATCATTCCTGCTTCTATTACCCTGACCTTTTAATCAAATCCAAGCGTCAATTTGATCAAAAAAATGTATAATAACAAATATGTATAGGTTATAATATTAGAATGTCACCATTTCCACACGGCGTTTCGTAATACGATTATTTCTAGCTTTATTACTTCGGACCTTTAATCAGATCCATGTTTCGTGAAAAAAAACTTATTACAAATGACAAAAATAATTATATAATTGAGATTCTCATACATTTTGCTCAAAAAAATTCGAACAAATATCCATAGGTTAAAATGTTAGAATGATACCATTCCCTCACTCTCCCCTAATGTTTCTGTTTTATTCATACTCTCTTATGAAATGAAATTTGAGTAACATCAACTGTGCATTAAAACGTCCGTGAAATCGTTTGTTCAAGTTTTGCTCTAGAATAAAATGAATGTATTCACATACCAATATACAGTTGAAGAGAGAAAGAGAGAGAGAGAGAGAGAAAGCGATAGAAAGAGAAAGAGAGTTTAAATACTAGCAACAAGTTTTAACAAATAAAATTCTATTATCAATATTCTATTTTACTTGAATAAATGCCACAAAAATGTTGGAATAATTTTTTTTTTTTTATAAAAGAAAGAAATAATACATCTATGCAATATTTATCTATTCATTGATGTAGAGTAATAAAATGATGTTAAAGGTCATGATATCCGTTTTAACGTTTATTAAAAGAAGGAATGAAAAAAAATCAATGTAATTGTGTGTGAGAATTTTTTTTTTTCGTGATTGTATTAATTGTTTAGAGAACGGTGAAAAATTCCTACTAAATAACAAAACAAACTAAAAGGGTAAAAGTCTCATAGAGAATCCCGTCAGACTAACGGTGACTTTTTTCACTTGTCAGTTGAACACATTGATGACATGTCTTGTGTACTTGGATATATCAGCTTCAAGTCAAGTAGTAAAAGAGTTTCGTAGAAACAACCGGATCAGATTTTCTGACAGTTGATTTCAGAAAAAAATAAATAAATTCTTTACCTTTACTTCTTATCATATCTATTCCTTATCACTTTTATTATTCACTGATATTTAATTTAAAATGACTAGAACATAGTAAAAATTGTTTATAATTTAAAAATGCTTCCAAAGAAATAATTAAGATAAAATATTTATTTATTGCTAGAAAGATCAAGGAGTTATATATGAAATAAATTTAATTACTAAATCAAGTGATATTATTGGGAATAAATAAAAAAAAACTAGTGCAATTAAAAAAGAAAAATAATAATCAGGTTTTACTAGTAATTCTTGAATAAATTGAACGTTCTTTAAAAGGAATAAAATACTTCTTACGCCCCCTCGGATAGTGGGTATGTGTTAGCCATATACATTGACATTATAGAGTTAAGAAGTACAAGAAAAAGCCCAGTAAGTTAACGGGTTAGTTCTCGTTGCTCAGCAAGGGAAGGTGTTGAAGTACCGTTTGATTTAGTACTTGAAGTTGTCATAATAAGTCTTACATTCGTCTTGTTTTTAATTATATTTCTATCAGGCTCTTTTCTTCTTTTTGATCAAATATTTATTTATTCATTCACTTCTAGGAAGATACAAAAAATATAGATTTATTATCCTCAAAGAGGTGGTAGTGTCTCCAATACTTAGGTCTAGATGACAACTTAATCATCAAATATTAAACCAAATGAATATTTTTAAAGTGCTGTTACAAAAATATCTAAGCATAACACTAGATATATTTAATGAACAATCGACTAAGCATAATTAAACATTCAATTTTACAATAATATCCAACCTGTAAGTCTCTTTTTGATTCATTTCCAATCACCAAGCTTTCTAGTTGCTTCATTATTTATTTAAAATATTTTATTGCTGAAAAATGTTGTTATGTTCAAAGTTTTCATTTAAAATCAGTAATAAAACTGAACTGGAAATATATTCTCTAGAAATTGTAGACCATAAAACAGGTGTTAGAAAGACCAGGGATTCATTGAAAGCCTTTAGGAGACCTACAAGTTAGACTTGATGTTTTCAAGAGCTTGATCAATTAAGACTAATACTTGTAGATTAATTCTGATTAATTGTAAATCAATTTCTCAGTCTTATAAAGCTTCTATAATGTGAGTTTCTCATGTAGGATACTCTAGGTTATCATTTTGATAATGTTTCAATAATGAACCATCATCAACATAGAAACCAAGTTGGTGAGATATTATTGGCATGGTAATACTGGACCAACAGCACTCTATATGATTTTTTAAATGCACTTGAAAAAAAATATAATGATTTAAAATTAAACGAAGAAATGAGTTTGATTGATGAAGACATTTCTCTCGATCCCATCTCCAACGCCATCAATATTTCAATATCATGAAAGTATGATGAATGTTATAACTGTTTTTAGTTGGGGATATTTTGAATTTTAAAATGAAATATAGCGAGACTTGAGATATTTTATTCACTTATTTCACAACATTTCTATGGTCCTCGAGACGTACACGTTTTTAAGGGTCAGGAAATTACATGCAAATGGTAAGAGGCTACAATGTGCAACACGTATCATCCATTTACCCACTCTAGTGAATATTATACTTGACAAACATCTCATGTCATCTTTTCTAATACTTATACACGTGGGTTATTTGAAATGATATACACATGGATAGTAGTATTAATATATTACATTTATTTTATCATAACACGTTTTCTCTTTTCTTGTTGCAGAACAACATTACGCGGCTGCTGATTCAAATAGTTCAACTCCCGCCAAAAGCTTCGTACCCTGTAAAGTTTGTGGCGATAAAGCTAGTGGTTTTCACTACGGAGTTACCAGTTGTGAGGGTTGTAAGGTGAGTTTTAATTATTTTATTTAGTAGATTAACTTACTGAATAAGTTGAGAAGATGAAATGAAAGTTGGAGTTTAAAGTAAGGTATTTTTAATTGTGAAATAAAATATAATTTCATTATAAGTTGGTTTATTAAACAAGGATATTGAGGAGAAAAAATATATATATTATAAAGTAAATAATTATTTATTTAATTAAAATTATGAGATTAAATGATAATTATTTAATTAATCATTTTCGGTAGTCAAAGTGAAAGTATTTGGTTATTTATCTCAGAGTCCAGTCTTAATTCGAAAATTTTATTGAACTCTTTGAATCAGGGCTTTTTAATACAAAGACAAAAAATGCTGATTTAAAACAAATTATTTGTAGGCATAAAAAAGTGTGTAAATCATACTTTGTTGTCATTGGCTTAAATCAACACATTTTGCTTTAGATCTTTTTTATACAACAAAATTCGAGTATATTTTATATGACATAATTTGTTCTTTAAAATATAAGGAAACTTTTAGTCATCTCACTTTTTCTACTTTTGATTTATTTATTGAGATATTTGATCTCAATTAAAACTGTTCATTATTCTAACCTAAAACTAATTACCATATGAGTTTGTCGATATTACAGATTGCCGATAATGCAGTTTGACATTATTTCATGGAATTCTTTTTAAAATAAAAATTAGAATCAGTCGTTAAATAAAGTGAAATTTTCCTGATAGGATAAAGGATGAAAGGACGAAGATTAATTTTATAAAAATGATATATGGAAAATGATGAAAGTGATTGGTTACTAAAATAATCAACTAATAGGAAATTGTTGTCATTAATTTCACTGCAAATAAGCTTATTGGCATATTACTAAGATCAATTGGTGACGGAGATAGTGTAATCTAAGTTGCAATTTCTCATCAAACAACTTAAGACTACACAGCCTTTGGAATCATTTATATATATATATGTATAGTATAGACAAATCCCGGGTCTCATCAATGTATTCCCGGAGAATACGGAAGCAACTTGAGTCTGGAAAGTTAACGGTACTCATTCAGTTATGTTTCATGCACGCGCCAATCAACATTTCTATTTATCCCTTTCAACTATTTCAAGCCATCGGTATTTTTACTGGAAAAATTTCCACGTGTTGTCTTAACTTCCTTGAATGTTGGGAAGTTTATTTATAATTGTTAAATAAAATCAAAACACCTTTTGATATAACTCAGATTTATTATATAAATGAAAAGAAACTTTTATAAACCATTGATTGATATTTATTAATTGGATAGTTACTTTAATAATCAAATTAGGTACCATACTGGTCAATTCATTATGTTATATATATCAGAAAATATATAGTATCGATAACATTTTAATTAGAGTATAGAAAGAAAAGCAAAAACATTTATCACTAGATTGCAACTAGATTGCTAATAAGGAATCAATAAGAATGCAGAAAAGATAATACATTTAGATTTGGATTTAAGATAAAATTACACTACATTCCAACAATAATTAAGAATCATTTAGAAAAATAATATTGAAACATTAAAATCCAAAGCAATTTTATTTATTTATTTTAGAAAATTTTGATTTCTTTTTGAAAAAAAAAAAATATTTCAATTAATTAAATTAATTTTTATTTAATCGTTAAATGTAATTGACAGTTAATCCACAACAACTCAAAAAGTTTTTAATTACTTTATAAATAATTTTATTAGTTTTATTTTATAAATAACTTCGTTTTTTAACTTATAATTATTGGTAAAATTAAACTAATTAATATCAAAAGTCAAAAATGGTGAAATGTTAGAATTTTTTTTTTTCCCTTTATTAAACAATAATATATGGAAGTTTAAATAATAATATTGGTTATTGATAAAACATATATTTGTTTACACTTGATAAATAAATCTGATCGATTGTGTATACTTGGCCATTGCTTTACATACTACTTAATTAAATATTCGCTTTTTGATACATAATATTGGTAAATATTCATATCCACATCTAGTAACTTTTTATCTAAAAATAAATTAAAATTGCAACATAATTAAAAAATTTGTCTCCTACTCAATATTTCATTTCTTTATTTAAAACATTTAATTAGGCCCAACAGTATAATGCAAACTACGGCCATAGATGGCCTGCAAATCTCAAATGTGAAAGTGTTTTATTTCAATACACTTAATAATGTGTTTTAAAATGACATCATCCATTTGATTAGCATTGCAGTGACTTTTAATATACTTGAAAGCGTTTAAAAAGTGACTATAATGTTAATCAAATGGGTGGTGTTATTTTAAAACACTTAAGTGCATTGAAATAAAACACTACGAGGTTCAGTGATTTAATCATTATTATGAGTATTGCATAACATCTATTGGCAAGAAAATATATTGATTGTTGTTGTAAAAAAGGACTAATTAAGGTTTCAAATGGATAAAAAGTATTACCAACTTCTTGTCATTATTAAAAAAAAACTAATAAAGATATTGAAAAAAAGCTCTAAATAAAAGTTGAAGATCTTTAAATTTTACACAAAAAAGGTATCTAGGGTTTTTTTTTCTATCTCTTATAGTTCAGCTACAAATTAATAATAAAAATTAAACTAAACACTTAAAGTGTTTGCAATGTTAAACATCATTAACGAACTATGGCAATTTTGTAAACACTTTTTGCCGTTTACTAAAATTCTATAGTTTGTTTATGGCATTCAACATTGTAAACATTTCGGTGTTTAATTATTAAACACTTTAAGTGATTTATCACTAAACACTTGAATTTTTCTGGATTTACAGTGTTACCATCATTTTGCAGCTCAACTATAAAAGATAGAAAAAAAAACAACTAGAAACTTTTTTTGTGTAAAATTAAAAAAAAAAAAAAAAAAACTTTTATTCAAACCATTTTTCGCATCATCAATTGGTATTAAAAATATTGGCGAATATTTACATTGATATTTAATAACATTTTTATTTAAAAATAAATTAAATTTGCATGATAATTAAAAAATTTCATATTTCACTAAATATCTTATATGAAAATAATTAAAAAAAAAAAGAAGAAAATTAATTAAAAATAAGGTATAATATAATAGAGTTGTTAAATAAAATGAATTTATTAAGCTATATTATGTATTGAACATGATTGTAATTGTGGTAATTACATCATTAATTAATATTGTATTGCTCTCATTGTATGCACCGGCTGACTCGTTTGTTACTTTTTCCACTTGCAGCACAACGAACATACAGTGCAACGGGCAGTCGGCTCGATCGATCGAAGCTCCACCTCTAAAGAGTCCTCTACATATTATCCTCGTCCTTTTAATGTACTATATACAATACAAATAATACTCTAGGACATTTCCGTGCTAGAAAATAATCGGTCTCGGTCGAGGTCAAAACTTCTAAGAGTCTACGATTTTATGAAGCATATTATATATAAATAATATTTATAGGTTAAAAAATTTATAGGTTAGAAAAACGCAATGCTATTAATCATAAACCATTCCTAGATTCATACGATGCATAATTAAGTCACTAGAATTATTAAATTATCGTTAGAGCTAATTATAAAGCAAAAAGGATAATTAAGTAAAGTTACAATTTAAATAATTATAATATAATTTAAAATTTTATTGTACTTATTTTTAGTAAGTTAAATATGTTATTGAAATAAATTCAATTAAGATGGAATAATTTTTAATGGTATTTAAATTAATTGTTTCAGGGTTTCTTTAGGAGAAGTATACAGAAGCAAATTGAATATCGATGTCTGAGGGATGGCAAGTGTTTAGTGATAAGATTGAACAGGAATCGATGTCAATATTGCAGATTTAAAAAGTGTTTGGCTGTTGGAATGTCACGTGATTGTAAGTAAAGTAAATCATTGATTTTTTTAACTTGAAGTTTAAAAATAACATTATTTATCTTGTTACATTTTGTCTTTAACAATTGTTTTCTTCTTTCCAAACTGTTTATTTAGTTTGTTTATTTTATTGGTTCAATTGAACTCCAATCAAGAGATAATTAATGATAAATTATTTAGGAAAATTTACATATGCTAGCTTTATTTCAATGAATTATTATGATATTTAATTCCACATTGATGGAAGGTTTCCAAAAATAAAGAGTTACTAGAATAAAGTAGTAATTATTAATTAATAATTGCAATAGATAAATTAGATTCTTCTTTGGTGTACACGTGATCACACCTCAGACGAGATAAACCACCATGACACCTTTGAGAGATCTCATTTGCCACTTACCTACGGTCGAATTAATTAGTCACTGATAAGGTATTAATGCAGATCCCATTTTGATCGATATATTCTAGCACACATTAGATAGAATAAATTATATCAGTGAAGAATAAGGAATTAGTGAAGATAAATCAGATTTACTGTAATGAAAAATAAATTTTTAAAAATAGGAGTAATACTGCTTTTATTAACTCATAATTAATCTAATATTCAGTGAATTAATTTATTTTTTTCTACAATCATCTGCTAAGTCTTCCAGTTTTAATATAGTACATTTCACACCTAGGGAGGGAAATGTACTAATTCAGCTCGAGGGGAAAAAAGTAGATAATATTAAACCAGGGGTTCGGTTCGGGTTGTAATTTTACATGCAGTTTGAGCTACTTTTTCTCCCTAGGTCTGAAATGTACAATTTTTCGTGAATGAAATGCTGTACTTTACTCCCTCGTTATGGGATGTAATGTTTTCTAACTCATTTTGCAATTATTTTATTAAAACTGGAGTTTTTAGAATAAAAAAAGTAGCTCAAACTGCATGTAAAATTACAACCCGAACCGAACCCCTGGTTTAATATTATCTACTTTGTTTCCCTTGAGCTGAATTAGTACATTTCCCTCCCTAGGTGTGAAATGTACTATTTCGTCATACCTGTATGGAAAGTTCAATCCCTCTCTAATGGAAAAGTGAACTTTTCCATACGGCTATGACGAAAAATATTTGATCAAGACAAAATTTATAATTTATCTCTGTTTCTTATTTTTGTGTACATATTTTTCTGCAGAATCAATGATGACGTCATCAAAAATAGCTTTTACTTTATCGACGTGATACTATTTATCAATAATATAAGTTAAAATATATTTTATATACATCAAATTATTGGATAGATGAAAAATAAAAGGAATTTACATTAACTAACAAAAGTGTAATAATTATTACATGAAATGAAAATATACTTAGCTTTACAGGCAGATTAATTAATTCATTACACATCGAGTTTCAGTGTTTACAAGTCGTAAGGATTACCAATACAATTATTTCTTTTATTTAGATCCCAAAGATACTAGAAGTATGTGTAAACAAAGCACATACCGATAAATAAATGACCATTTAAATTTTGTCACCAATTACGAATCAATTATTCGATTTTTCGATATAAATGTATCGATTATTGACTAACTATCGAAGACCTATTTGAAGGCAGTCAAAAATAACGGTTAATATAATTGTTGTAAATTAAAAAGGACAAAACTTTTGGAATAAATGATTTTTTTAATGTGCTAACAAGTGTAGTAGAATATTAATTGTTATTTTTAAATGATTATTATTAAATTTTATCACCTATGTAGAAGAAACAATCGAGATGTCAGAACATTGGACCAAGTAAGTACAATGACGCCATAACCTTTGAAATAATGAATATTCAAATAATATTAACAAATAAACATTAATTAACATTTATTAGGTAGGTTAAATTTATAGATAAGTTATAAAAATTGTTTCATAATATTTCAGTGAAGAGTTTATTAATATTATTCAAGATGACTTCAAAAAAACCACCAAAAATATATTTAGCATTTGGCAACAGGTTGGATTAGGAAGAAAAGTTATAAACAAATATAAGAAAGATATTTACAATAATATACAGGTAAAAAACAACAAATGTTTATCATTAGGTATTAATGATTTATTACGAAAATATATATAATATTTAAATATTAATATATTAAATAAATTTTAATTTAAGGAATTACTTGAGGACATCGAAAGTGCTGCTAGAAACGAAAAACATAAAAATAAAAAAAAAAATTGAACAATTAGTTAAAAAAATTAGAAAATTAAGTGATGTAAGTTGTTGATATGATCTTATTGTTATTCATGAATGTATATATGTAGTAGAATTGCATTTAATTATATTTTTTTATAGGCATTAGGATTAGAAATATTGATGCCTAAATATCGAGATAAATCGTTGATCGATGCCATAAATATATTAGAAGAAAAAATTCAAGAATTAAAAGTAATTAAGCAACATCACATGTTAGAAGTTCAAATCTCTCTAAATAAGGTAAATTTTGTTTATTTTTTTCTCATTTAAAAATGAGAATTAACTTTTCTTTAATAATGAATTGTTTTTTCAATAGGAATATCAAATATGTAAACGTCTTGGACTTCAACCAATTGGTTTTAAATCGGAATTTCCTAATTTGAAAGATTCAAGATTTTAACTCAAAATTATCAGTATTAAAAACTGATTTGTCAAGTCGTAAAAATACTTTTAAACATCTTCGACAATTAATTGTAGAAATGAGAGAAGAAATGGCCTTACTTTCAACAAATGATTTTGAAAGGTTAATTTTGGATGATTCTGAAGAATTCATTTATTCTAGTAAAAATATGGCAGAGTTAAAAAAATTACACGACAATTTACAAGAGCGAAGAACAATAATGAAGCAAGAAGCAGAAAGTAAGCGACAAGAATTACTTGAACTTTGGAAATATCTAAACGTTCCAAAGGATCAATATGAAAAGATTTTAGTCAAGTATTCCGGTTTTGATGCGATAACTATTTATGCTTTAAATAAAGAAATTCAGAAGAATATGAAAACAAAAGAAGACAATCGCATATCTTCTTTTATAAAAGAGATGAAAGAAAATTTAAAATATTGGTGGTCTATGTGTAAAATGTGTCCTCAGGAAATAGAAAAATTGTATTTTTATAATTCAACCATTGTAAATGAAAACATATTAAAACTTCATGAAAATGAAGTTGAAAAACTTCAAGAATTTTACAAATCGAATAAGAAATTATTTGAATTACTTGATAAATGGAATAAAATGTGGAAACAATATAAAAATTATTGCCATCAAATTCAAAATCCCGACAGATATGTCAATCGTCGAGCTCAACTTCTTGATGAAGAAAACACTCGAAATTATTTATCGAAAGTAAAAAGATATTTTAATCATCATATTTCATGTACCATTTTTATTATTATTATTATTATTTTACTAAATTATTTTATATATTTTAGAATCTTCCAAAAGTTAAAGAACAACTTGAAGTAATGGTGAATGAATATAAAATTATACAAGGTAAACCTTTTACAATTTATGGTTTAGAATTGTCCGAATTTTTCGAAAAGCAAATAAAAGATCTTCAAACTGAAATGAAGGAGTTGAAAGTTGCAGAGGTAAATAAAATCATAGCAATAAATAGAAATTAACTTATGATAATAAAATAAAAACAATTGAATTTAATTCAAACTAATAAAAAATACAATAAATTCTCTTTCAGTTAAAAGTAAACGAAGAAAAGTCTGCTAATAAAACACTTTTGAGTGTTTCTTTCGAAAATTTTCCTTATGTTATCAAAAAAAAGGCTAATACTTCTCCGATCAAAAGAAAACCCCGATTATCATCATCAAATATTCGAAAACTTGCACATACAGCTGATAAAGAAAATGTTTATCCAAAAGTTCTTTGTTCAAAAATTCGTAAAAGTGGACATTCGAAAGCAAGACGTCAACTTCTGTCATCATTGAAGGCGTTATCAAGATCCCCAAGAATGTAGTAAATAAAAAAATACAGAACTAAGGAGTTTTTAAAAACTATCAAGCCATCGAGAAAATATTTTTCTTCACATAAAGTTTTGAGAAAAAGTAATGTAACATGTGAAAATTGAATTAAGAAGCCTTAAATATTTATCTACTTCAAGGCCTATTATATCATCACGTTCAACTGATAAAGATATACTTTAGTATTATATTTATTTAATAACTTAATTAAACATAATATTTATATTTAAAATTAAAAAGAATAATATTAATGTTTAATTAGTTGCTAGAAGCAGCTATGATATATTTTAATACTTTAACTTATTTAAATATACATTTTTAATTAACTATTACGATGATTACGATTTTTAATTAACTATTACGATGATTACGATTTTATATTAAAAGATTATTTATTATTTGTATTAAAAATTACACTATAAAATTATATGCATTAATTAATTCTATTCTTCAAAATAGAATTATGCTCACAATGTGTATTATTTAATTTAAAATTGTTTTACTAATTTATAGTGTTGTAAATAACTTGAGTAATCATCAATTATAATAATAAGAAAGTAATTTATAATATCAATTTAAAATATATTTTTTTTTAATATCACAATTGTTCAACAAAAATGCACCTCAGCATCATATGATATTGAGATTATTTTAGAGATACTTTGAAGGGTATAAAAGCCTCTTCTTACATTACTATATACATACGAAGATGTATGCTTAGAACGCAGGATTGAAACCCCGAACGGAAGTTTGTAGTTTGGGTATTCCTAACTCTCATTCCACCTTTACTCTTGTATTCTCTCTCAAGCGATGAGGGCAAGGTAAACCAGAGCGAACTTGCGTGCATAATTAAACGTCAAAGTTCCGCTAGTTAGGATGTACACTAGGGTATAGAAGTCTTTTTCTCTTATTCTCTCATATTAAAATCATTGCAGACATTTAAAAGTAGTTGAATAGGAAAAGACAATCTTAATCATGATAGTTGTTTTTAATCATCATCATTCATTAATTAATTAAAGATAAAATATCATGATGCATCTAAGAGCAATAATAAATATTGAAAACAATTGTTGTTAGATAAAATTAAATTATTTTTATTTAAATATGAACATATTATTAATATTCATGTATTACTTGCAGCTGTTCGATATGGCCGTGTACCAAAACGATCAAGGGAACGAGGGCCAGAGGATTCAATTCCAACATCAACAGTTGGTAGTGGACATCAAATAAATTCTGGAATAAATAGCAACAACAATAATAATAACGATAACGATAATAATAATAATAACAACAACAGCAACAATAATAATAATAATAATAATAATAACAATAGCAATAACAATAGTACCAACAACAACAATCATAATAATATTATCAACAATAATAGTAATAATAGTAATAACAATATCATCACCAATAATAATAACAATAATAATAATAGTACGAATAATAATAATAGTCAAAGTCAAAATGTATTGACACGAATACCATCAGCAGCAGTCGTTGAAGCTGATCAATCAGATGCTGATAATAAACATTTAGCAGTATATGATGTTATCCTTCAAGTGTCACAAGCTCATCATGCTCACTGTGGTTTCACTGAAGAATCAACTAGAGGCCTCGTTCGAAAGCCCATGATAATACCGGTAATATGATTTTATTGAAATTACATTTAATTAGTTTATAAAGTTTGTTAATAGAGAATATGATGAGTGATGTTGGATAAAATTGAATAGAGTTATTTTAAAAGTTAAATTTAGTGTAAATAATGATGTAATATTAAAAAAGAATAATTATTTCAATTAGCCAACCAGCCCAGAAGACCCTGAAGCAGCGTCATCAACAGCAGAGACGGTTGAATCCCAAAGGATTTGGTTATGGCAACAGTTTGCCGCTAGAGTGACACCTTCAGTTCAAAGGGTTGTAGAATTTGCTAAACGTGTGCCAGGCTTTTGTGAGCTCACTCAAGATGATCAATTAATACTGATTAAAGTTGGATTCTTTGAAGTATGGCTGTGTCATATCTCTAAAATGACCACCGATACTTCGATGACCTTTGAAGATGGTACTTACATTACTAGACAACAGATTGAATTGATGTACGAGGTAAGAAATATTATACTTGTTGGCAATTTCTTTTCATGTTACAGCTTTTTAAAGCTGTACGTAATGTAATTCATTAGCTATTTAAGTAAACAATTAGGAATTGAAAAGAGATTAAATGATTTATTTGAAATTCTAGGCAGATTTTGTGGCTGCTTTGATGCAGTTCACATCGTCCTTGAATGCTCATCAATTGTCCGATGCTGAGCTTGGATTATTTTCTGGTGCGGTATTACTAAGCGAACGACCAGGTTTGAATGATGTCAAGGCCGTGCAGAGACTGCAGGATCGTTTATTGGAAGCACTGCGGATTCAAAATGGTAGGAATCATTCCTCACCAACTGAAATAGTTCCAGTAAGTTCTCCAGTTGTTAGTGTAGCCCAAAGGTTACCAGAATTACGTGCACTTGGATCTCGGCATGCTAATCTTCTTGATTGGTTTCGAAGAAACTGGACTAAGCTCAAATTACCACCATTATTTGCCGAAATATTTGACATTCCCAAATGTGAAGAAGATCTACAGTAAAAGAGATAATAATGTCGATTTTCCTGTTATTGTTGAATTAGTTTTTCTTGTTCTTTTTATCGTTCAAAAAAAAGTTAATTAAATTATTGTTTCATTTGCTTGTCTTTTTGTGAATATTCTAAAGATAAAGCGGGCCAAAAGAAAATAATGAAACGGGAATTAATGAGAATTATAAAAAGATTAGAAAAAAAAAAAACATATCACGTGAGATAAAGAAATTTTTATAATCATTTTAATTGATAAGTAAATTTAGTTAAAAGATGTTGATCTATCTGGTGATGTTGGTGTTGTTGATTTTTGGAATTTTAGTTAAATAAATTGGAATAAATAAAGCTCATTAATTGATATATTTTTAAATTAATTTTTAAATAAAATAAAAATAATCAACTTTTTCTAAATAAAATGACGTTAAATAAAATGTTTTAAAAAATGTTGGATAATAATTATCCAGATATTTGAAAAGATCTTTTAAGTGAAAGAAAGATTTAAAAAAAAAAACTAAATAAATAAATAAATTAACTTAAATTTTACTCTTGCCTGCTCAAAGTGATAAAATAAGAGTTTAATATTTTATTTGAATAAATTTTTTTAAACTGACAAGTATTTCATGATTGAATAATCATTTATCAAGGATATTAACAAACAAACAAAAAAAACAGAATGAGATTAAAGTGAATAAAAATAATAATAATATCATATAATTAATAAATAAACGTAGACGCACGCACAGCAAAGTAACGTATTGATTTGGTCATATACTCATAATTGAATAAAATTTTTGAATTTAAAAATTGCAAGACAAATAAAAGAAGAAAAAAAGAAATAATTGAAAGAATAAACAGATAAATAATTAATCAAGTCAAATGATCTAATAGATATAAATAAAAGGCGTTATAAATAAAAGAAAAAGAAGAAGAAGAAGAAGAAGAAGAAAATATATTAAATAATTTAATAAGAAAAGTAACGATTTCTCTTAGCGTATCTTTGTAGGTGCATGCGCAGCGTCTCTCAATCTATGCAATCTATTTTTATTACTTAAAATGGACTAGAAAATAGAACCTTATACAATATTGGGCAGAATAAAAAAAATTACTTAAATCAATTTTTATTTATTTTTTTTTTTGTCTATTTAAGATTGTATATTACAATGCAATGTTATTTAATAAATACTCTTTTTACTTTTGTTTTATTTTTACTTTTTTCTATTATCTCGTGTAATATACATCAATTGTAATAAGTAACAATGCTCAGAAATGCACAATCATATCATCTTAAATGTTCAATTAATATCGGAGTAATTATTTGCAACTGCTTAAAAAAAAATTTTTTTAATATGCAGTATCTCCGGTTAATTATCATCTAATTGAATTTAAATAAAACCTATTGTGATTCTGCCCGTTAAAAAGTAATCCAAGAAAGCACTTAATGACTACTTGACAATGATTAAAAAATAAAATAATACGTATCAATAGTTAATAAATGAAAAAATAAATAAAAAATCTAAGAATTATTTACCTAATTAGATGATGAAAAAACAAACAACTAAATGTTAAAGATTAATTATTATCATTATCATCATTAATTATCATCAACTATTAATTATCATTATTATTAAAAAAAAAAAAACAATACGTATACATTTCTCACAATATAAGATTTTCAATTTTAAACGCTCACATCAAGTTGTGAATAAACATATCATACATTATATTAAAAATATATATATTAGCAGAGAAATTAAGAGATGAAAAATATAACATACATCAATACTTATAATATTAATATATTGCATAAACTAATAATTATTATTATTATTTTTTACTTTATACTTAATTAAACAAGAGATTATGTGCATTTGGGTGTTAATGCAATAAAATGTATCTTCTTTATAGCCTTTGTTATTAATTTATTTTATTAATTTTATAAAAAGTAAAATCTCTGCTAATTAACTGATGATAAAATGAAAAAGATTCATCATCAATGAATTACTTTGAATTATTTGTTTAGGAAAAAGAATTTATATTACATGGGTTATAAAGAAGACATTTGTGTTTTTATTCAAAATTTTCTAGTCTCATATAAAACAATTTATATTTTATTTTTTAATTACTCGGCTCCCTTGGAAAAAATTTATTTTTTAATGCAAATGACATTGAAAAAAAAAAATAATAATAAAACGGCCAAATACTTTGTTAATTAAATAAGATAATTAGAATTATTATAACAAGCGAGAAAAGAAAAATAAACAAATGATGAAACTTAATGATAATTTGCAAAAAAAAAAAAAATGAGATTATATTTCGAGAGGGAATAAATAAAAGCTCGATTTTCCTCCTTTCAATGCTCTTTATAGATGAATGAATAATTATTAAATACCTTTTCACAACAATTGTCGATATTTTTCAATTAAAACATACATATATTATTTCTTTTAACATTTTAAAAGTCAATTATTATGATGATTTTTTAAGTTTTAATTTTAAATGATGTCAAATTTAATATGTTTGGTGCTATAAGCTTTTTTTTAAAAAAAAAAAAAGGAAATTAATTATTAATTAATAGCGTTTGAGAAAGATAAAAAATAATTAATTTAACAAAAATAATCACAATTAAATACCGATGACAGACATGATAAAGTAATAAGCACTAAAACAGTGCATTTTCGTGGAATTGTTTTAAAATATATATATATAAAAATATCATATATATATATATATTTGTATATACAACGATAATGATGATATACTATGACTGCTCTATACTGCTAAAGTACAAATGTTTCATTTAAATACTTTTTTATAATAATAATTATACATTTATTTTATTCTCATTTAACTCTATCAATTTCTATACAATTTTTAAACACATATAATTGAATTATTAATTATTAATTAATTAATTAAAACCATTAGATTAGTTTGAGTTGCATTTATATTTATTTTAATTGATTGTTTTTATTTACAATTTATCAACTAAATAAGAATAATATAATCCTTTTTTCTCTTTTCCTTGTGCTTCTTCAAATTGATTTAAATAATTAATTAATTTGCTAAATAATTTTTAATATATAAATAAATTTAGTTCTTGGACTGTGGTGTTAAGTGTGACAATCAATTGAACAGTGCTCTCGTCGACGACACATAATAAAAATACTAGCAAGCCTATTCATGTAAATAAATAAATAATTGATATTAATTAATGAATTTAGTTAATTTAATAAATAAATAAATTTTTAATATCATTGTGCTTGCTTATAAATATAAATAAATATATAAATATATATATAGAATAATTGTTAACTTAAATACATAATTGTTTCGCCGACAATACGGCTTCTGACGTCTTGTGATACTCGCTTTTATTCCTTCGTGATGAGATTAAAAATGATAAAAAAAATTATATAATTAAATTTCAATTTTTTTCTTATTATTAAATAAATAATCGTAATATATATATATATATATTGATTAAGTAGATAAAAAAAAAAATATTTCACAAATAATAGATTAAAAAATTGACATTAATAAAAAAAACTAATCGCTATTTGTTTATTAATTAATTTAAAATAATAGTTATTAATATTTTAATATTTTTTAGTTTAATATTATTTCTCAGTGTGTACAATTTAAAATTATTGTAGAATTAAATTTCATAAAAAAAAATAATGATAATATTATTATTATTATTATTAATAATAATAATAGAGTAGAATTTAGTATAATATAAACATATCGAGAGAGAGCACAAGTAATAAAAAAAAAAAGTTTTATTAAAACAACGTATTATATGAATAAATTAAATGGAATTATAAATAATAACTAAGTGTATATTGTATACAAATTATGTGAAAAAAATAATCTTTTTTTATAAAACTTTTTCAATACTTCTTTGCTGTTGTATTTAAAAAATTTTAGATATTTATCATGAGCTTTCTTAAACAATAATTATTGTGAATATTAAATTAAGGCAAATTTTTCGTATTAATATAAATTAAAATTTAATTAAAAATATTTTAATAATTAATTTAAAATAAAAAAAAAAAAAATTCTTTCGATTTGTAATTAAATTTTTTTGTTTATTAATTGTTTTTTACTTTTTTAAATTAAATCTTTCAGGTGCATCTCTTTTATATTAGCAATGATGGCACTAATATTAATTAATTAATTTTATGTTATTAAAAAAAAAAATTTTGTTCTTTCATTTAAATGACAAATTTGCCTTTATTTAAATCTAATGGAATATCCAATGATTATTGCACAAAGAAAAAAAAAGTGTTCTCTGAGAATAGTATTAGTTGAATTAAATAAATTTAATACGTAAAATAATAATGGACTAATTAAAAATAATAAATGGTAGATAAACAAATAAAAGAATTGAACATAAAATTAATTATGGAATAAAAAAAAAAAATTTTAATCTGAAGAGTAGGATATTTTACTAAATTTTTCTCGTGTACCTATTAATCTCGCTCACTTCTGCTCACAATATCAGATTCAATGGATATAAATTAGTAGAATAAAACAATTTCATATGTTATATACTTAAGCTTCATATTTAATTCCAATCCATTGCCATTAGCTTTGGAAAGAAAAAAAAATAATGCAAATTAGAGAAAGATGAACTCGTTAAATAATCAGATGAATCCCAGGTATAACGAAATATTATGGTAATTTATTGATGAATCAGTGTAGGTAATTAATTATATTATCAACAAGACTTGGTGCCAATTATAATAATTAATTATTTAAACAATTAGATTAGGAAATATTAACAATCATGATGGTAATTTATTAAAGGATGCAAATCGAGCTCATTTTCTACGAAAAAATTGATATATTTTACATAATAAACATTTTATTTATAAATTAATGTAACATAAATTTATCTAATAATGCTTTTTCATAATAATTTTAAACATATTTAAACTATTAATAATAAACAAAAAAAAAAATAATGATAGAAAGGAAGAATTTTTTTAAATAAATTGATTTATAGTTTAAAATATATCATTTTTCGTGGAATAAAAAACAATTTTTAAATCATTTAAAAAATTAATTATTCTATTTAGATCCTTTCGGAAGATCTAAAATCCGAATGAGCAATTGTATGAAAAAAAAAAAAAATTAATTGCCTTTAAAACAAAAAAATTGTAAAGTATGGCAATAATAATGAATGAGAATAAATAAATTTAAAACAAATAATAATACTATTATTTACAATAAAATAATTTAAAGTAAATGCATAAACACTTTTTTATACTTTGCCTTTTTTTTTTTTTTTAGAAATCATTCATTATTATTATAAAAAAACAAATCATCAAGATGATTTATTTGATTATTGGCTTGCATATTAAGTGATAATTAAATAGTGGCAATTCTTCAAGTCCATATTTATTGTGAGAGCGAAAAAAAGAATAATAATAAATATATTATTAATAAATAATAATTAATAAATTATAATATTATGTTTATCTTGGCAATACTTGATATATATTAAATGGAAAGAAAAAAAAAAATTTTTTTTATTAATTTTATGATAATTAGTTAATAAGAGTGAATTTTTTCATTAATATTTAAGTAATATAAATAGAGAAATAATATATTTGTGAGTTTCAATTTTTTTATATATATTATATAAATATATATAAATATTAAAATTAATTATTAATATGCATATAAATGATATATTTGCATTGTTATATGAGTTTAAATAAGAATTTGAGCTTATCATCCATAGTAAATTAAATGAAATAATATTGAATTAGCATTTTACACTTCATATCGTTTGCACACCTTATAATCTTATGTTTTTATAATTTTTTTTCTGTTATCTTTCATTTTTTTAACTTTAAACATCATCCCCTGAAACCCCCTTCTCCCAATTAATTACTCCTTCTTTAATAGTACGTTCAAATGTATTGTTCTCTTTAAAATAAACAAACAAATGGTGTTGTACTTTTTCATATAAAAAAAAGAATATATAAAAAATATAAAAACACTTTTCCGAAGTAATTATGTGGGATTGGAGAAATCGAAAAATTAAATGATATTAAAATAAAATAAATATCATCTTAATGATTATTATTAATCAATAATATATTGTTTTTATTGACTATTAAGCCTCATAAATCCATCCTTATAATATAAATTAAATTAACGATTAGTAATTTAATTTATTTAAAATAAAATAATACAATAATAATTGTATTTTATCAGTTCATTTATTGTGAGAAAATTTTATTATAAAATATATTATGAGTAAGTAATAATTAAGTACATTTAATAATATGCAATTCTAACTGGAAATACTTAAAATGCATTTTACAACAATCACACGTCACATCATTTGTTTTATTTTATTCCTTCATTTTTATAAAAACGATTATATATTGATTCGAATAATTATCAATACATTTTTTTATTATTTATTATGTTATTATTGTTGTATTCTTCTATTTTTTTATATATATATATATATATATATATATATTTTAATTGACGTGTAGACAATTATCAATTTTTTGTTTTATCTATAAACTATACAATTTACATCTATAAATGCACACGCGAAACATTTTTTTAATTATTTAATTGATGTGTAATAGAATAGAGAAAACAATTAGGGATTTTTCTATTTATTATCACAACCACACTATAGATGGTTTATTTTTTTTTTTATTGATTGTTTTATTATTATTGGCAACAAGAGCCAAAAGTCATAATTGTTTAATTATTATTATTATTATTATTATTTTGATAATTATAATGTATCGTTTAAATTACAGGTACGTAAGTAAAATTAACAAAAATAAAAACATTAGTGTCGTTTCGTTTTTCGTTAATTAATCATTTTAAAATACATAATTAACGAATTAATTAGACATCAAATGAATAAATTTCTCTTTTAAAAGTTTCGTCATATTTTATATAATGTTTGAATTAATTTTCTTTCTTTTTTTTTATTATTTTTCTATTTAAGTTAATTTCGACTTGGCCCCCGAAATTGTTTTCAGTCTTAAAGTTGAAAAATTTTGTTTTGAAAATACAAAAATTACATTTAATTGAGCATGACTTAATTAAAAGTCTCAGACAATATTCAAATAATTACTAACAATGTTTTTACTTTAAGTGTATATTATCAAATTATTTGGATAAATGGTTTTTTTTTTTCAAAAACATCCTAATTAAATATAATTTTAAGTAATTAATTTTCTTTTTCTCTTAGCCATGAATATTTAAATTAATTTAAAAAGTAATTCATTAACAAAATTTACAAGATGTTTTTTTTTTCTTCTTTCTACTCTATAAACAATTATCTAACACTTAAGGCATTTTTTTAAAATGTTTTTCTCTACACTTTTTACTACATTTAACGTCAAATTATTAAAAAACAAAAAAAATAGTAGTAAAATTGATACTGTAATTATGTAAAACAAATAACTTAACAAAAATCATTTTTGATTGATTTAAAATAAGAATAAAAGCATATTTTATAATTGATAATAATTGCAGTATTCATCAAACAAATTCTGATGAATCAAATGCATTTGATTATTCGTTGACTGAATCAATAATAATTGACTAATCGTAATAACTATACCATAGTTCGTCTTTTTTTAATATAAACATTTTTAATATCGTTCATTGACTCTATCAACAATGGATTGAGTATTGCTAAAGTGAGTTCATTTTTAACAGCTAATTCGTCGTGATGAAACTTTGTCCATTCATCTTCTTCAGCTTGTGCTTCTCTAGCTAATAATTCATCAACTCTATCCCTTCTTTTTCTACTCCATCTCATAACCATATTTTCACGTTGTAATTTCGTTTTAAAACCAAATAACGTAGCAACTTCTTTACTCACATATTCATTTAATTCTTCAACAGTTCTAGGTATTTTTATCGCCGGTTTTGTTTTAACATTTGGTTTTGTCCAACTTGGACCTGGTTTTTCACATTCACCTTGATATACTTCAGCAATTGTTTCCTTACATAAATCAAATAAAAATGTATTATATATTTTACGATCTTTCTTAATTATTTCATTATTGTCTTTGTTGAATTCATAAATTTCAGGCGGTGCTTCAAGTTTCATTATATCCTTGCCAAATTGTTTAGCGTTGAAAATTATTATCGTTGCTTTTTCGGTGAATGCTGTTAGATCCTCAACATTAGTTGGAACTATTGATGGTGATAAAATTGGTGATGATTCTGGTGATAGGCCTCCTATTCCTGGTGGAGTATAAGGTGGTGGTGGTTTATTGGGAATTTCTCGAACATAAAATGATTTTTCTTCAGCTTCTAATTTTTTTATCTGTAAAAAATTTTTTATATTATTAAATATCGAATTATTTTTTTATTTAAACAATTACTTCTCAACTGAATCGAAATATTAAAAAAACTTGGATGCCTCTTTTGATAATTTTTTATTAGCTATTTACCTTGAGTTCTATTTGAAGTTGTTCTATTCTTAAAAGCTTTGCATTAAACTCCACTACTTCTAGTCCTGGTTGATCCAATGAAACTTGAATTAGATGAAAAAATTAATAAGTCAATTTATTAAAATAAAATTAAAATAAATAAATAATGAAATATCAAAAATACCTTGCAATTTAGAAATCATCATTTCAATATCTTTCTCAGTCGTGATTCCTCCTGTTTGATTATCACCTTTAATATCCTTGTTACTTTTATCATTTTCACTTTCAATCAGTAAATCATCATTTAATATATCAACATCAAGCCTTGAATCATTTTGATCACGTGGTGAATCTAAATCAATTTCAGATACACCTTTAGGAGTATCAGCATCTTCACTTATTTCCGATGAAATTTCATCTTTGTCAACACTTTTATCATTCTCGTCTAATTTCGTGGATTTTTTTGACTCCTCTTGTGCTAAATGATCCTCAGAAGTATCCCCTAACTCTTCAATAGTAACACCTACACTCTCTTGGACTTCTCTATTGTCCAAAGCTTTTGATGAAACTTCACTAATCTCTTCTACAACTCTAATAGGTTCTGAAATATCACTCTTTTGTGTTTCAAGAGACTTCTTGAGCAACGATTGCTGTGATATTGAATCCAATATCTGCAAAACGACATCAGTTTGTGGAACAGCTTCAAATTTTTCTGGTATTTTATTGGATTTTTGAGACTTTGATTTATCGAGAATTTCAGATACTTCTAAACTTTCTTCAGAAATGTCATCATATTCTGGATCTTTAATTATTTCTCTCAAAATTGCCACTGATTTTGGCTGATCTTCATTTTCTTTATCATCATTTTCATCTTTTTGATCAATTATTCCATCAACTTCAGCAATTGATTGCCGATTTTCTGATATACTTTCATTATTCTGAATATCCAAGTCTGGAATTTCAGTTATAAATTGATTAGAGACTTCTTTTTCAGTTTCAGAAGTTGGTATTGGATCATCTTCTTGTCTACTTTTACTAATTGTTATACTTTCATAACTTCGAACATCAACTTCGTGACGGTCATCACGATCTCGAGTTTTTTTAGCAAAATTATTCTCTACATTTTCAAGAATTTCAGTCAGTTTTTGAAGTGCCGGCTCAACTTCAGCAGTAAGATTTAATTCATTATTTTTTTCAACAAATTTATTACCTATTGCTTGTTGTAATTTCACTTCTGTTGGAGCTATTGAATGTTGAACCATTTGAACTGATGATTCTTTTCTATCACGTTCAATAATATCTAAAATATCATCTAATTCATCAGCAATACTATTTTCTATTTTTTCCTTCGTTATTCCATTAATATCTTCACTCATATCCGAATGAATAGCATAAAGTTCTTGGATATTTGTCGATTCTCCTCGAGGAATAAAAAGAGAAACTTGAATATCAGTTGTGTTATTTCTTTCATCATCTTCTTTAATTTCTGGAGACTTTTCTTCAATGAGATCAGCATCAACTGCTTCAAAGGAATCGGAAATTGTCCAATTATTAGAAGCTTTTGATCTTGACAATTCTTCATTTTCATCGTTATTATCAATCTCTTCTTCCTCTTCTGTTTTACTGAGTTTATCAAATGAAGATCGATAAGAAGTATCTTTAGCTGATTGATTAATTTTTTGTGAAGAATATGAAGACTCGTGATCACTGTCTTCAAGTTCTTCTTCAATAAAACTACTTTCTTCTTCTAATTTTTCTACTTCTTTAGAGACAGATGTTTCTTCTTCATTACTCTCCGATCTCTTAGATAATTCTTGAGTCTCTGAAAGCTTCTGATCAATATTCGATTGTGATAAATTTGTATCGGTAAGAGTTTGTTTATTACCAGTAATTTGTGATATAATTTTTGATATTGATTTAATATCTCCTTCTAATGAATTAAAATCAGATGATAAAGCTTCGTTATCTTTGTGTAAACTTAACATACTTTGTTCTAAAGCAGCGCCAGATAATTCAAAATTATTACCAGTTAGCTTCCCGTGATCTTGAATAATTGATTGCTCAACGACATTTAAAATTGCTTTACTTTTAGCTTCGAAATCAATTTCTTCCGATAATTTTGAATCATATGATTCACTTTTACTTGGTATTATCGTCGATATTACTTCTGAATGAATACTTTGCATTGTTTTATCATCAGCATCCGATGCTTGTGGTAATTTATTATCAATCTCAGATGATTTTTCATCAATCTCTGTTACCTTTGATAGATTCTGAATACTCTCAACAACTTCAGATTGTGAAAAATCTTCAGTTATTTCTTTAGCTGAACTCTTTTCAGTCTCAATTGTCGTGTGATTGTAAATAGATGCCGATTTGTCATCGGATTTTTTACTAAATCTTGATACCATCTCTGACAACGTTCTCAAATCATTCTCTAGTGTATTAATATCCTCTGTAAGATTTTTATTATTTAAATGAAGTAAATCTATTTTATTAGAAAATAAACTTCCACTTTCTTCATTAAACTCTTCTTCAATAACATCAGATCCCGATTTTATGTCAGTTTTAGTGTGAATAGTTGAACTTTCATTTGATTTGACATTTTCTAATTTGGATTCATCAATTTCCGTTGATTCTTTATTCATCTCTGATGATTTTTTACTGTTTTCTGTTGACTTCTGATCTCGACTTGCTTCACTATCATTTCTAGACTCCGTACTTCGTGATGAAAGTGTTCTCCTAGCTTCTTCCAATACTGATTCGATGCTACGACTCGTTGTTTTATCTTTTTCAACACTTTTCGATGTGTTTTTAGTTACCAATGAACTAGACGATTCATAATCAACTTCTTTATCAGTTTTTTTAGTTAAAGAATAAATATTTTTCGTTATTAAATCTGATTCAGATCGTGATCTTGATAAATCATTAGTTTTATAAAGTTCTTGGATATTTTTAATTGGAATCTCAGGTACTTTTACGTCAGCTATTGATTTAGCTTCGATAGCTAATTTTCCACTTTCTTTTATTAAATTACGTTTTTGTTCCAATTTTTTACGCATTTCGTTTATTGTTATATCGTATTTCTGTAACATAAAATTATTTTTTTAAATTAAAAACAATTATTATTTTTATTTTATTTATATCAATTTTAAATTACCGTTATTTGATTTAATAAATTCGCTTCGAGAGTTTTTAATCTCTGTTTAGCTTGCTTTCGTGCTTCTTTCTTGAGCTTTGCCATTTCTGCACGTCTTTGGGCTAATTTTTCTACTAAAAGCTCTACTCTGCCTTCAACATCACTTGTATCCGATGAAACAGTTGTATCTAAAATAAATTTTGAATAAAAAATTTATTAATTTTTATTCATTTACAGAAAGAAAGTAAAAGAGAGAGAGAGAAATGATTAATTTACCATTGCAAGACAAAGCATTAGAACTTGCACTAATTAATTTCAAAGCTGCCTCTTCCATTCGTATTATTCGACTCTCTTCGGCTTTTAATTTTGCGTGATAGGCTATCCAATCTTCAACGCAATTACGTCTTGTAGCAAGTGCTGCTTCCCGTGCATGTAAAACTCTATTTGAAAATAATAATAAAAATAATTATTGTGTGTGAATTTTTTAATTATACAATTTTAAGAAAGTTAATAAAAATAGAAAATAAAATTTTTTTAATTTTAAAAAAACAAAATGAGTATTAAAATTACATAATTGATTTTTTTAATGACTAATTAATGATATAATTCAGTAGATTTTTAATTATTAAAAGAATTTAAGTCTTTAGAAAGTCTAATTTTCACTGCATTTGAACTGTGATGGTATTCTGGTGCAGAACTACTGAGATTCTATTTTTACGAAAGCTTCGGATGATCATGGATATATTGCATTTCAAGTTTATTATTAGCATTCTGACGTTAAGTTAAGGAAAATTCTATTCTTTATATTTTTTTTTTTCCTATCAAAAATCGAAGACTGTTTAATACACTTCGAATCAATAATTATTTAAAAATAATTATGTTAAAGCAAAAAAAAAAAAAAGAGCTTTTGTTAAAGAAATATCAAACTATAGATCGATTAATCAGTCATCAGTTCTATGAATATTTAGAATTATTAACTTACTGTTCTAATTTTTTTGATGTCTTGAACTGATGATCTTGCTGAGATCTTATCACTACCGATCTCGAGTAACTCTTCTCACTATCCCCTGAACTATGTCTTGAAATGGTAAAAGTACTAACTTGTGATCTAGTTGATATGTTTTCTTGATTCTGTACATCATTATTATTATCTCTAATTTTTGTATCATTTTTATTCATTGAATCTCTATTTATCATTTGCTCTGATATGTTCTCCTTAGCTTCATGCTCATGAGCAATATCACGTAGGAGTTTATAATTTTTTTCTTTAACTGCTCGGGAATGTTTAACTAAAGCTTGAAGTGAATTTTGACTGTCATTTAAATTAATCTCTTCAAGAATTGATTGATGACTATCTTCAGTTGGCAAAAAATCACGTTCAATTTTCGATCTTTTATTATTTTTTAAATCATCTGAATTTGCATTCATCTTTAATATATTTTCCGTCAAAATATTTGCTGGAGTTTTAACTTTAGGATTTTTTCCAGTCTTTCGTTTACTTAATTTTAGGTCTTGATTGTACTGAGCTTTCTTCAAAGCATCCCTTTCACCACTGGTTTTATCATTCTTCTTATTCTCTTCACTTCTATCACGTAGTTTTGACTTTTTCGACAACTCCTCCACCAAAGTATCCGACTCAGACTTCAAGTCAGATGAAATATTGAATGATTTAGCTTGATTACTTTGCCTAGCTTGTTGAAGTTTTGATTCAAGATTCATATGATGAGCTTTTAACCTTAGCAAATCGCTTTTAGGCATCTTTTCCTCAAACTTACGTGTCTTTAGTTGATACTTGGAAGGCGATTCAAGTCTTGATGAATTGCTAGATTCTTCAAAAAGCTGTGAATATTTATTACCCCGTGAATCAACAGAAGTACATGCATCTTCATCACGTTTAAGTAATTTTTCATTCAACTTTTCAATACTCATATCAGAGACTTCAAGTTTTTCATCAAGATTCGATCTATCAATTTGTGATTTGTCAGAATCAACAAGCGAACTGATAGAACTATTACTTCTGATATCATAACCCTTCATTGGACCTGATAGTCTACGTGGTGATTGACAATCAGCACTTCTCTTTAGTTTGGTTAAAAAATTCTTCGTTGACATCTGAGGATTCAACATATTCCTTTGTTTCTGCAACATAAGTTTACGTTCTTGACTGGCTTTTTTATGTAACTCTTTCAATCGATTCATTTCATCTTTTTCTTGCTGTAATTTTAACAATAAAGCTCGTTGTTTCTTCTTAACTGAACTTATCCTAGAATCTTGACCAGTATCTCTCAATGCTCTCTTTTGCTCCTCCAATTTAACAAGCTTACGTGTACGATCATATAGGGTCTTTTCATGAGATCGAAAAAGCATTTCTATTTTATCATTTGTTTGTCTTTCGTCTTTTATTAATTGCGCCATCTCCAGGTCTAGGAATTTATTGAAAGAATAAGTCACATCTCGAGTGGAAATACTGATTTCCGTACCAGTTTCAGTCTTGATAGATGACGTGGTTTCATGCAAACTTATCTCAGACATTGCTCGCATTTTATTTGGCAATGGTATTTCTTCAAGTTGATCAAGATCTTCAATATCAATGGAACCAAAATCAAAAGATCCACGTCTATAAGTAACACCAGGATGTTGAATTCTAGGATCTACACTTAGAGTCATCATTGTATCAGTTTGAGTTGCAATATCATTAGCAGTTTGTGTCTGTACTTCAACTTTAGTACTCAATTTATTCTTCTCATCATTATTATTATCACTTATTATTATATCCTGTTGTTGCTTTTGTTCATCAACTTGTGTATTTGTTAATTTATTTGATTGCTCAGTAATCAATTTTTGTTGAAGTTTCTCTCGTGCTTGATCTTGCTTAACATTATACAAAGAATTTTCAACATCCATCACTTGTCTTATAGACTCATTGTATGAATCAAATAAATGTAATTCAGCTTGGAATTGCATGTGTAATGCAGTTGGATGTAATAAAGGCACGTCTTCTTCTTGTTTCTCATTCTGTTGTAATTTATGTTTAGATGATACCACGTGATTCAGTCCATCATCAACACTAGACTCTTGGAATGTTTTTATTGATCGTTGGTCTTTTTTACGCTTAGGTCGATAAACTAAATTTAAATCTGGTGTAACTAAATTACAAAATTCTTCCTGCTGTGAATAACTATCATCTCTAAATGATATTTTTTTAGAATCTAAAAAACTTTCATCTGATGATTGTGTTATATTTATATTTTTATCATTCAAACTATTTACATCACTGGTAGTTAAATTTTGTTGTGTGCTAACTAATGTTACTTTATCATCTTTACTTTTAGATAATGCTGATGATAATTCGGTATAAATACTGTCGGATTTAGTGTCTTCGATATCATCTGGATGGCAATCAACAAAAGTGCCACCAGTTGATCTATGATATATCTTTGATGTTTTACATTTATCTAAAATTTTTTTATGTTTATCCTTAGTCATTTGATGCTTCAATACTTTATTATCTGATCCAATACGATATTTTTGATCATCTAATCTTAATCCATTGACACTTTGATTAGTATAATCATTTGAAGCTCGTAAATCACTTCTATGTGTAATGTAATCATAAGGTTTACGATCAGAAATCGATTCACTACTTGTCACTTTACCTTTCATTTCAACTGATCTGTCCCTCGAACTTTTCATTTGACCAGGTCGTGATGATTTTTTTTCATCAGTTTTACTAGCCATCAATCCAAAACTCTTTTTGTCTCTCTGTCGTGAATGTGAACGTTCTGTTGAGCTTTTTCCAGTTGATTTAACTGTAATAGGATCAATTAAATCACGCCTCGGTATATGTTTTGTATTACGTTTTTTTAAATTATCAAAAGCTTCATCATCTTTCGATTTATCACCATCATCTTTTTTAATTCTTTTAGTTTTATTTATTTTATCCCTCGAACTGTCTCTTTGTTCCAATTTTTTACGTGAAAATGATGAATATTGTATATCCGGTGCTTTTAATTGTTTTATATCCTCATTAGCTAATGAACTTTGGGATGACAAAAATTCCAACTTTCTATTAACTCTTTCTGCACTCTTTGAGCTTTTGTCTATCATCTCTTCAGACCGTACATTTCGTTGTAAATGATCTCGTGGTGAATAATCAACTGTTTTAGGTGATATTTTTAAATCTGGTACTTTAAGTGGTTTTATAAAATCCATTTTATCATCTAAATGATCAACTTTTGATTCTAATTTATGCCCTTCTGCTTCATGTTGAGCTTCCAATTCTAATTTACGTCTTACAGCTGAAATGAAAGTAAATGGATAAGGTTGTAATCGTTGATTAGATGATTGAAAATTATTACATTCTCTTGATTGATTAAAAATTTTTTGCTGTTGATTTTTCAATGCTAATAATTCAGCACGTTTTGCTATAATATCAGGATCATTAAAGAATACATAATTTTGTTTATTATCTTCAATTTTATCTTTATCATCACTCATTCTACTGAATTTATTCTTTTTTGATGATTTAATTTTCTTTAAAATTTTATGTCTGTATTCATTATTTTATTTATTCATTTATCGTTCGATTTTTCAGTCGATAATCCATTATATTATTTATTTTATAAATGTTTTTATTCATTTATAGACACAGAGTACACTTTTAATCGATTGGAAATTTGTAACGGCGTAAAAAATACGTTAGGAACTTTAACCTCTGGACAATCCGGCATTTATACACTTGCTGCACATACTCCTTTTTTTTTCTTATCTATCAAACACTTGGTTTATAATTTTATTATTATAAAGTATGATCGTCATTGATAAAAAAATGTTGAATTATTTCGTTTTTGATTTGATAAATTCTTTTTAAAATAATATTGGTATTTAATTTCGACCGTTTTATCGCCACAAATACGACACAACATCATTACACGACGCGTTCATAAGCTGACTAACTGCGAGGTCGCTCGTTGTCGATAAAAAGGTCAAAAACTTACATAAAATACCAGTAGATGGCGTTTGTAAATACTGTCTCCATGACTCCGTCGGTATGGCGGCACAAGAGCCTAGCGCCGCTAGTGGCAATAGAATATATTATAGTTCCTTCTTACACGGCATAGCTGGAGTAAAATAAAGAATAATTTAGAACTAATTACCTATCTTAAACATTAATTATGAATTGTTAATTATCTAATTGCAATTAACCTACATTGTAGCCCAACTTCTTCGGGAACACCATGTCGATAATTAAATACTCTTATTTACCGACAAAAATGAACGTAGAAATCATCACGATCTACTTTATCGACAGAATGGGATTTAAAAAATGTTTTTTTTTTAATTTCATCGTATTTATTTAATTAATTATCGTTTATTGATGAAGATGCATTGTTTGGCAAGGTAGCAATTATATTGAATGAAAACTAATTAATGTATTGATCCAAGAGTATATTTAATATTCAATGTAGCAGAGGAAATATGAAATTAATGTTGATTAGAAAATAATTTTAATGAGTTTCAAGTATTATCAAGATTGACATTCACGAACGGAACTGGAGGAATTATTTTGCAAGATGGATTAGTTTGATTACGTTCATGCTATATTAGAATAGTTGATTCATGAAGAACAATTTAATTGTTTTTTTTATTTCAAATCATTTGAGGAGAAGTTGTTATTGTAGTTGTATGACAAATGTATTTCAGAATAATAGAAAATGAGGAAAGTACTTGGTTGGTTATTGTTAACATTGTTAATGAGAACAATAGATAATCAATTAATTCGATCACCAAATATTTACAAAGAAGTCATCAGAGAAGTCTGTGATTATTATCAATGTTTTTCAATTACACTTTTTCACAGTAGTCCTTCTTGGACTCAAGGTGAGTACAAATCAATATTTACACTGAAGAATATTCCGGCAATAAACTGGAGTGATTTTTGTGATGTTTAGATATTGATGTGATGACCAAGCTGAAGAACCTGGTGATGTATTTTGAGAGCAAATTACTGATTCAGACAACTGTCACTGATATTTCAAGCTATGCAATTCAGTTCAGCAGCATGAGATTCAATTTGATGACGAAGTCACTCTTTATCCTCTTGAATGACTCTGATGACATGAAAGTCCAGTTTGCTAGGGTAATGAAATTACTCTTGCTGTTGTTGAACATTTAATTTCATAATTAAATCTTGTAGATGCTAATACCATTGATGGACATATCGAAACCCATGTGGATGATTTTTATGCAAGACAAGACATCGATTGAAGATTTTTTTGAAGATGTCTACATACCTTTCAACTGCAAATTTATGATATCGAAGAAGAGTCTTGACATCGAAGATAGTGAGGTAATTACTGAAATTTACAGAGTTTACTTTGGTAAACAACTGAAGCAAGATTTCTTTGCTACTTGGAATACTCTTACTGGCATGGATCCACCATCCCTACCTTTCTTTATGCGGAGAAAGAATCTTGATAGCCAGTTACTACGTGTCAGCTCTATAAATGTAATTAGATACACTTATATTTATTTTAATATTGCCAATATATTTCAATGTTGTTCTATATCTCATATAGAGACCTCCTGGATCAATCGTCATTGAGAATAAAGAAGAGAATACAACTGAATTAGGTGGATCCTGTGGAGAAATATTACTTGATTTTCAAAACTTCCTCAACTTTCGGTAATTATCTTTAATAATCTTATTCAAGCTACTGAATTGATTTTGATAATTAATAGTTGATATTTTTCTTTCTTATTTCAAGAGTTTCTTTCAAGCAATCAATTAGAGGAGGATATTGTTATTCCAATGGTACATGTACTGACTCTGTTGAGTTAATGAGAACCAATCAATCAGATATATTAGCACTGGACTTGGTAGTAATAACTTCAAGAATTGATAAACTACAGTATCTTGCTCCACTGTATTTTTTAAAGTAATCCTCTATTCATCCTCTGTTAAATAACTCTAAAAATTACATAAAATATTTTCTAACAATAATCTCTTGTAATTTTCTAGACTTAATATATACATCAGCATATCAAAAAATGTGCAGTGGCAAAAATATTTGACACCATTTAGCAAGGGAATTTGGTTCATCATTGCTATCATGATTATACTTATTGGTAGCTTTATAACATTAATAAAATTTCTAAGTAAAGTGAAGCTTATTGACAAACTCGATTTAGATCATGATGATGATGAAATATCATTCATAGATTCTTATCTCATCGTCATTGCTGCACTTAGTGGTCAAGGTAAAGTTGAATAAATTGCTAAAATTTTCTATCAACTTGTTCGTAAATAATTCAATGTAATTTTTATTATTTTAGCAATGAAACAATCACAAATTAATTCACTTCGGTTCATTGCACTCACTACTCATGTAACATCCATTGTATTATTGGCATCATACTCAGCGGTACTGATAAGTCTTTTAACAGTCAATCATGCTGAAGCACCATTAAAGTCTATTAAAGATTTTCTAGAAGATGGATCTTACAGTGTTGGAGTCATGTTGGCTTCCACTGAATATGCTATTCTTGAGGTATTTAAAAAAAAATGTAATCATTAGAAATTGCATTTAATTAGATGTTGCATTAATTTAGCTTTAATTTGTAGGGTATTGAAAACAGTTTGATAAAACAATTATTGAAGAAAATTAATCAAATTAAATCCACACTACCATCAACTAGACGTGAAGGACTTCAACGTGTATGCGATGATAATAAATTTGCATTTGTGACCAATACAAATGCTTACTCGAAATTTGATCCAGAGAATTGTTATATTGTACCATTGGATAATATTGTTGATTTATCTGCAGCCTTTGCAGTACAAAAAAACAGTCCATATATTGATCTTTTTAATTATTAGTAAGTATTGAGGTTGTTCTCTATGAGGCTCTTGAGCAGACTTGTACAAAATACCTTTTTAAAAGTATTTAAATACAAATATAAATACTTTTACTCCGTAGAGTATTCAAATACAAATACTGGGTTTTGTGAAGGTATTTAAATACAAATATTCAAAAAGTATTTGAAATATAAATACAAATGCAGCCTAGCTAATTTAAATAGATATTTTAAAGCAAGTATATACTTGTAGAAAATACTTTAAAAAAAGTATTATTGTATTTAAATACTGACAAATTTATTCAACAGTTTCTGTATAAGCTACAGCGTTACGTACAACGTTTAGTAAAGTTTTTATTGAGTACCTTATTGATATTTTACTTTGTATTTTAAAAACGATTTAGTGTATACTGAAAAAGGTATTTTATTTGAAATGTTTCAATTAGAGTACCTTTTTGAAGTATTTAAATACAATTATCGAATAATTTTTGTTGTCAGTACTTAAATATTATTTGAAATACCGTGAAAAGTATTTAAATTAGTATTTCAAATACTTTTATTTGAAATATTGACAAGTATGCTCTTGAGATTGTTGTGAATAATTAAAAAAGAATTAAGTCGCGAATAATTTGAGTCAAAAAATCAACAACTTTTTCAAGGTGCCCATAAAATTCAACACCACACCATAGAATTACACCAAATATGAATGAAAAATTCAAATTCAAATTAGTTAATCAATATAGTTGTAAAATATTTGAGTAAAAGTATTTAAAATATTCTACTTAAATAATCCTAGAGTATTTGTATTTCTTTTTAAAATACCTTTCAATGAAAATATTTAACTTCCTAGTGGGAAGTTATAGTAATGGGTCCGATTTTGCGAATCGCTAATTTTGACATATCTCCACGTTTTAAGGTCCCGCGAATCCAATACGACCGTTTTCCAGTGGACGTCTGTGTGTGTGTATGTGCGTATGTGGGACCAATTGCATTCGACACGTAATTATGTAAATTAGAACTGATTAGGTTTTCAACAAAATCGGTCCAGCCATTTTTTTTGCAGAACCAAAAAACTAGCAAAAATGAAAAACGACCTGAATTTTGCAATTTATAAATTATACCATTTTTTAGACAAAATTTCAAAATCTTTTAAAAAATATGAATATTAAATGATTAGAATACTTGTATGAGAATATGATGACAATATTTCATCGGAAAAGAAAATTTAAAAAACAAAATCAGCAATGAAAGAATTTTAAACTCGTGTCGGGATTGAGGAAACAGCATTAAAGACGCTATAATAGTCAATAATAATTGTCAATAATATGGAATTGTGTCCATAACAATTGAACATCGTTACTAACAAATGATTATTGATCATAGTAATATTTAAATAATAAGTTTTAAATTGTTATAAACAATAAAAATAGGGATCCATTCTATATATATGAGTACTTTTAACGCATAATTTTTTCTTTTACTAAAAAAATGTTACCAACCGTATGACATAAATGAAAACATACTTTTTTCATGTATAACAATGAAATTCGTTGTAAATAATGAAAAAAAGAATCTACGAGGTATATTTGAATTCTTCTAACGCACAATTTTTTCTTTTACTGAAATAAAGTAACTAACCATATCAAATGAATAAAAACAGACTCATTTCGTTTATAACAATTCCATTTGTTATAAAAAATGGAAACGGGTTCTATTCAAATTGTTTTTTTATTTTTTCCACTGGGAAGTTGGTCGTGTGGACCTTTCGGGTTGCACCCAGACCACTGCAGAGCACTGATATTTTATTATTTTTATTTAAATACAAAGTTTCCTTTGTTTTATTTGATTTTTTAAATAGTTTTGATGATATTTTTAAATCTAAAAACAATTTGTATAAAATTCAACTGAATTGAATATATAATTATGTAGAAATTGTTGAGAAAGTTGTTGCAATAATTGTAACAATGCACATATTTTTTCCAATAGAACATCTCGAGCTAAGTATTTGTATTTGTATTTAAATACTTTTCAGAAGGTATTTTTTTAGAAGTCTGTTAATAAATACTTTTTTTTCTGTTTTATAGCATAAATGTCTTAAGAGAAGCTGGTATTTTCAAGAAATTATTTCAAGCTGATGAATCAAAAACCACTGTAAGTATTATTTTATAAATACTAAAAATAAATTTTATCAATAATAAATGTATGTTTTTTTTATTTGTAGATTAAAAAGGAATGGTTGCCAGTGGAATTATTTGAAATTTTTCCTTTACTTGCACTACTTTCTGGAAGTTTTATCTTAAGTATTATTATTTTAATGTTTGAAAAAATACATCACAACAAATTTGTTATTAATAAAAAATCATTAAAAAAAATTTCACATGCATCAAAAAATAGGAATAAAATTAAAAATAAAAGGCATAGAAAATTAAAAATAACTGTAGAATTGTTATAAATATTATCGATTATTTATACATTGGCTCATGACAATAATACCAAAAAGCTTTGATGTTTTATTTGTATTTGATGGAATTTTTAGTCACATGCTATGAATATATTGGATTTATAAATATTTGCACACAGTTTGTTGTCATGTATACTTTAACAATAAGAACTCTTTTATTTACTTTCAATATTTACGAAACGATACTATAAACAACAATTAAATATTGAACTTTATATATAAAATATTTCAAAAATAGAATAATAATAAAATGCTGTAGGATTTAGTATTGAATAATGATTGAATGATAATGCAAAGATAATTATAAAATAATATTTTTATAAGTCATGAAAATCAATGTAATAACGACTAGAATGCTTTGATGTTTAATCTATGTTATATTGAATTTGTAAGCTTGCATATGAGGACTACATATAAGAGCATGCAATCGATTTATGATTAGACTTATGCTTTGATAATTCAGTTCTCTTTTACTATTGTAAGAGTATTCATATTACTCTAGACTTAATTATTTTTAAAAATAAGTCCTGTCAGTTTTATTATTTGTTTTTTAAATTCAGATGAAAATAAGAATATTTAAATTATTATTGTTATCAATATTATATTCAAACTCTGTTAAAGGTCTTTTTTTAAACAATGTTGATGTAATTAAATATCAAAATATTATTCAAAATATCTACGAATATTATAATTGTCAGTCTATCACTCTGATTCATGCTGACAAATTGAATCAACTTGAAGGTAAATTTTTTAATTAATTAATAATATTGTAAAATAATTTAATTAATATTTTTATTATTTGCTTTTCTAGATGTGACAATTTTAAAAAATTTATTGCTATCATTCACAACAACTTCTCTTATTAAAACAACTTTAATTGATGTTCAGATGCTATCGTCATTGGTAAATAATAAATAAAAGTATTTTTAATGTAGAAAAAAATTATCTAGGGATTTATAAATTGATTTATGGAGTAGTATTTATCATTAGTTTAGTGTGATGAGTTTCAATGAGGTAACTAAACCATTGGTTGTATTTTTTGATGTTGATGATGATGATGGTGATGATGATGATAAAATTACTTCTAATTCTTTTATTCAAGTAAGTATTCAAGTATCTATTGAAAACGAAATTCCCTTACCTTCTTTTCAATTAATAAATTAAATTCTAATTTCCTGAATAGTTCTTAGCAAGCATTAATTATTTATCTGAAGCTCTGTGGATTATTTTCTTTCCAAACCACACAACAATTGATATGATAGCTCAACATGTTTATATTCCATTTAATTGCAAGTTTATGATAGTGAAGAAGAATGATAATAATGATGATTTAATTATAATTGAATTATATCATATAAATAAAAAATCATCAATGAGACAAGATTTATTAGGAAGTTGGAGTACTGAAAGTGGAATACAACTTCCAAAATTACCTTTTCTAAAACGACGTCATAATTTACATAATGAAACATTACGTGCAACTATTTTAGCTGTAAGTTAAAGTTGATTTAAATTAAAAATAACAATTGAAATAAAATTCATTTTATTATAGGGACCAGGAGTATCAATAAAACGTAATAAAAATCATGAAATCATTGAAATTGGCAGCTATTGTGGTCAAATAATAAATATATTCAGGGATAAATTAAATTTTACGTAAGATTAAATTATTTATTTCCTTTTAATTATTTTTATAATTGTATTTACTATATTAAAATTCATTTTTCTTTAGATTAAATTATGAAGAAATTCATGTTATAGGTGGATGTATGCCAAATGGTACTTGTACTGGAGGAGTTGATACAATGGCACGACATATTTCAGATATATTTCCATTTGATTTACGTATTTCACCAGCAAGAATGAATGTCATGGATTACACCATGCCATTATACACAACTGAGTATTATTATTTGATTATTTATCACTTAATTATAAAGGAGAAGGTAGGATTATGGTTTGATCTTTAATATGGTCCATTCGTTTATTTTGCGAGTGATAATTTAACAGATTAATTGAATAAAAGCAAAAAGTGATCCATTAAAAAAGGTAGAATTGTGGATCACTTGTTGGTTTTAATTACATGGCATTCTTTTTAATTATCACTGGCAAAAATAAACAAATGGACCATATTAAAGGCCGGACCATAATCCTACCTTCTTATCTAAAAATTAATTAATTAGTTGTTGAATTTTATTGTTAATTATTTAAGCCAACGAATGTATATACAAAAGCCAGCTCCAAAATTGGTATGGAACCGATATTTAAAGCCATTTGATAGCAGAGTATGGAGTCTTATTGTTTGTTTATTTTTGATACATATTATTATAATAATCTCCATTCGAATACTTCATAAACGTCGAGTTGTCAGAGATTTAACATTAGATGAAAGTTATAAAACATTATCAGATATTTTTTTTCTCAGTTTTGCTGCAATGTGTAATGAATGTAAGTTAATGTTCACTTTATTCAAATAAAAATGATTTTATCTTGATGTTAAAACTCTATCTTGATGTTAGAGTATATTTATATATTAATAAAAACAAATTATTAATCGATTTAATTTTTTTTTTCTAGCAATTCCAGAAATGTCATTATTATCATTACGTATTACTCAATTTACTATTTATACCACACTGACGATTCTTTATGCTGCTTATTCAGCAATATTGATAACTTCATTGGCATTTCAGACATTTGAACCTCCTTTCACCACCATGGAAGGTCTTATGGAGGATGGCTCTTATGATTTAGGAATTTTAAAAGATTCTGCTGATTATGATTTCTTTCAAGTTAGTTGATAATTTTTATTCCTTTAATAGGAAGTTATTGTAATGGATCCGATTTTGGACATTTCAAATTTTGACATATTTTCATGTTTTAAGATCTTTAGAGTCGAATGCTAGGATTTTTAAAAAGATGTTTGTGTTTGTACATGTGTGTATGCATGTTTGTGATTAATTTACGTCTCATGTATGTTGAAAATGATGGTAATTATTTAGAATTAAGACTCCATTCGGGGAAAAAAAAATTGATCTACTGAGATCTATTTTTTGGCATAATTAGATCTACTTTGTTCTGAGTACATCTGTTTTGATGACTTTAGACCTTCTGTGATCTCTGTAGATGTATTAAATTTTTCTTATCATCGAGATCAATGGAGATCTCTATAGTCATATAGTCGGACTGAGAAGAGAGTTCCTCAGATGCTCTTCATGTGTTCTTGTACGCTTGCGCAGTAGTAAAAAACATGGTAGAAGGGGTAGAAAATCAGTGGTGGGGAGCCCGAAAGCATTGAAGCAACTGAGGAACTCTTTTCTCAGTTCGACTATACAGTAATTTGAGTAGATATACAGTGATCTCACTAGATATACATAGATTTACTTGGACTAAATTTTCTTCAGTTTTTAGATATGAGTAGATCAAATTGGATCTAAAAAATGGCGAAAATGTAGATCTGTGCAGATCTATTTTATTTTATCCCAGGCAGACAAAAATCACTTCAAAAATTTTTTGATGCATTTGGGATTATTTTTGTGGATATAAAAAGAAAATTCTAGGCGGAGGAGACGTATTATTTTCATTACTTCATAAATTACATGGCATAAATTACACGTAAATTTCAAAACGTGGCTTAAAGAGTCGAGGAAGGGGGGGTGCTTATAATTTAGGCAACATTCATTCGCGGGAAGAGTGTTGAAAGAGCATAAAATATTTTGTAATTATTAAAAATATTTTTGATCTTTTAATCTCTTCCTCTACCGCCTTATCTTCAAAGGTGAGGCTTCCTATATTTTTAAGTGATTATTGTTTCAGAATACTTCCATCAAAATTCTATCGGATTTGTTTGAAAAAATGATGTCTTATGAAGCTTCTCTGCCAACATCTAGAATCGAAGGGCTCAGAAGAATTTGTAGCAATAATAAATATGCTTATTTAGCACCAGATATATCGACACAATACTTTCCAGCTAAAAATTGTACACTAATACCATTGAATGTTATTTCTAGAAATGCACCGTTTTCCATGGCTCTACAGTACAAGAGTCCTTTTAAGGATATTATTAATTACAGGTAAGTAATTAGTCTAAGGTTCTTCAAATAAAAAATTGAATAACTTGTAGATATATTTTCGTTGTAGAATCAATGTATTGAGAGAAAGTGGAATTTTAAACAAAATATTCAAAGATGCTGAGGTATCAGACAATGAGGTTATAATAATGAATAACTATTTTTAAGAATATGTTAATTTTTTTTTAATAACAAATTGAAATAAATTTTATTGTTGCATTTGTTGGCTTGAAACAGATTGACAACAGTTGGGTTACAGTTGAACTTCCGGACGTTTTTCCTTTGATAGTTATACTATTAGTTAGTTATGTAATAAGTCTTGTTATATTAATATGGGAAAGTATTTATGCTAAGCAAGAAAAAGGACATCATGTTGGAGATATAACGAGAGTAATTGTGCAAAGTCGAGATTATCTTCCATACAGAAATTAA